GAAATGTTTTCCCTCTCTCGTAGCATAGCAGATATACGATAGACCTGCAATGACTAATCCTTTCAATAAAAGATAAATTATTATTTTAATAAATAGACTAATTGAGATATTACCCATTGGACTTACCATATTAGTTTTAATTAACAGTTTTTATACTATTATTGAAAATAACAAAAGAAATATATATTTTGTTTTATCTTATATTAATAATATTTAAAAATTATGGTTAATAAAAATCAATTTTAATAGAACAATTAATCTATTTTATTTAAAAGACATAAATGACTAAAAATCAAATGTTACAAAAAGTTCTTATAACACAATTAATCAAATGTTATTGATTTTTTGGTTTTTTTTTTTTTTTTTTTTTAAAAAAAAAGAAATTGTGGCGATGCCAGCCAGAAGCATCTCTACCTGCTCAATAAAATAATGAATGCAAACCTACAACATCCATCGTCTTTTATGCTCATCAATTATTTCAAAAGCATGAATAATGTTTCTCTGCAAATCATCTCAACACGTGTCCCTCCTGCTTTACTCGCTGATGACTTTGCAATTTTATTTTATTTTTTTTAGAGATCGACCATCCCACCCACGTAATCTCTTAAAGAAACTTATTGAAAAGTATTTTTATTCTACCTTATCTTTCGTTTCGTTCTTAATAAGTTGTTTGTAGTTTTATTATTAGAACATATAAATTTCACCAAATGTATTTTTTATAGACTCATTCATTATCACGAACCACCCCACCCCGTATAATGTCATATGCAGACACAAGACAAATTCATACTTATAGCTACTTTTGAATTTATATTGACAAATGAGTACCTTCTTGTAATGAGTTGATTTCCCCAGTTGTTCTTACATACTTCTTCTAGTTCCTTACCACACATTGCGTATACATTTTTTTTACGTGTATTCTTTTAAGACACAAACTTTATGTCGCCACACATTTTACATATATATTTATTTATGTTTTAAGTTTTCGTTTTATGATTATAATTCAGTTTGTGAACTTTTAAATTTTAAGAAAATAAACTTAATCTTTCTGTTTATGCAATTATATAGAAAATAATGACAAGTTAAGATTTTTATCAATGGAAGTGCAAATATACCAGAAGCATTATTCTTCAAAAATGTACAAAAATTATTTGTTTATTTTAATTTAAAGTTATTAAGTAAATCCATAATATAATTAAAATGGCTTTTTCTATTGTTATTGTTAAAATTAATATAGAAATTATAATTTAAATTTAAATAATATTTATTTTTTTAATTAAATTTAATATGAATTTATCTTTTAAATATTATGTAATCATTAAAAATTCACACGATTGTTATCTTATCAAACTGCGACTCAACTAAAAAATTATAATTAAAAAAATCTAAAAAAAATTAATAACAAAATTTGATGAAAACTACATTAATAATTGAATAAATGTTTCAAAATATGAAGAAGATATATTGAAGAGAAGTGTTTCAATAAAATAAATTTTGTACTTATAATTTTTACGTTAAAAGAAATATTAAAATTAATATAAAAATTATAATTTATTTTATTTATTAATTTAAATTCAAAAAAATTTATTTTTTAATTAAACTTTATTAATGTTTATCTTTTAAATATCATATAATTAGCGAAAACTTATTTTTTTAAAAAATTTAATTCATATTTATTTTTCAAATATTATATAATTAATTAAATTTTATTTTTAAAAAATTAATTTATATGTAAACCTATTTAAAATCACATAAAATTATTAATTCTTAACTCAATGAAAATTCAAATTTTCTTGGCCCTAAAAACACTCAAACAGTCATATTCTAACAAAATTATTTTTGTTATTAAATAAACAGAATAAGTAAAATAAAAAAATAGGAGGGAGTTGCAATGAGAGGGTTATTTGTATTGCCACCTTATAAGACGTGACGAAAGCTCTCGAAGCTCCCCGCTTCTTATTTTTGTCTTTGTCAAAGAGAATTATCAAAGCTTAGATTCCTTCTCATCGAGAAATGGAATATTCAGGTGAAGAATACGACGTCGTTGTCGTCGGGGCAGGCATCATGGGCAGCTGCACTGCTTACCAACTGGCCAAAAGAGGTCAGAAGACACTCCTGCTTGAACAGTTCGATTTCTTGCACCACCGCGGATCGTCACACGGCGAGTCACGAACGATTCGTGCTTCCTACCCGGAAGACTACTACCCCGCCATGGTCGCCGAGTCAGCTCATCTCTGGGAACAGGCACAATCCGAGATCGGCTACAAGGTATATTTCAAAGCCGAGCATTTGGACATCGGGCCATCCGACTCCAAGAGTCTCCGTGCCGTTATTGCCAGCTGCGAAAAGAACGGTATCCCACATCAGGTCATCGATCGGCATGAAGTTGCCGATAAATTTTCCGGCAGGATAGATATGCCGGAGGACTGGATCGGTGTGACCGCGGAGCTGGGTGGTGTGATCAAGCCCACAAAGGCAGTGTCCATGTTCCAAACGCTAGCATTTCAAAACGGCGCCGTTCTCAGGGACAACATTCAGGTAACAAACATAGTGAAGGACGAGGTGAAGGGAGGGGTAATTGTATGTGGGAGTAACGGTGAAAAGTCTAGGGGTAAAAAATGTGTAGTTACAGCGGGTGCGTGGGTTAAAAAGTTGCTAAAAAGGATAAGTGGGATTGAACTCCCGATTGAAGTTTTGGAGACGACGGTGTGTTATTGGAGGATCAAAGAAGGAAAAGAGAATGATTATACAATCAACGGAGGTTTCCCAACATTTGCGAGCTATGGGCAGCCGTACATATACGGTACGCCGTCGTTTGAATATCCGGGATTGATTAAGGTGGCGGTGCACGGTGGATGCGCATGTGACCCGGATAAGAGACCGTGGGGTCCGGGAGTGAAGCAGAGCGAACTGAAGAAATGGATAGAGAGGACTTTCAGAGGTGCCATTGATTCAAGTGAGCCGGTAGGAAAGCAAATATGTATGTATTCAATGACGAGCGATGGGGATTTTGTGATTGATTTCTTGGGGGGAGAATTTGGGGAGGATGTGGTAATTGGTGGTGGGTTTTCGGGTCATGGGTTCAAGATGGGTCCGATTGTGGGGAAGATATTGGCTGAGCTTGTGCTTCATGGGGATGCTGGAATGGAGCTAAAGCATTTTAGGATCGAAAGGTTCAAGGAGAATGATAAAGGGAATCCCAAAGATTTTGAGGATCAAATTTGTTATGGTCCAGACGAAGTTTGAAAATGGTTTGATTTTTGTAATTGTTTCTCCATCACTTGTAATGGTTTTCTCTTAAATCATGCATCCCAACATTTCAATATTTACAGGTCCACTGCAAATTATGCTGTGAATTTTCAAATGGCTACGAAAATATTTTTTACTTTAAAAAATCATAGGTTGTGTGTGTTTATAAAAAAAAATTAGTTTTTATATTCAAGTTTAAATCTTTAATAAAAGTTAAAATCCAGTTTCCAAAAACTACAGAGTGTTTACTGTGAGTTTTGAAAATATTACTAAAAAAAATTGATAAAAATACTTCAGCTTAAAAAGTTAATTAATGTTTGGTAAAAATAACTATAAAGATAGAATGTCGATGTAGAATTGATTGGTCAAAATGGAAAAACACGGTGCAAATGGAATTGGACTCACTTAATAAATGAGGTTATTGAACATACAGTTTAAATATCATACCATAATGACATAAAATCAATATTTACTAGAAATAAATATTGCAAGAAAGTGAAACAAGAAGAATAAAACTTTCTTAAATAAAGCCCAACTTGTAGTTCAAGAATTTTTACAAAAATATGGTATTAATTCTCAAAAAGATGTGATGCAAATAGAATGATATAAAACTTACTCAATATGAACGATTCTTGGATATGCAGTTCAAACACCAAATGATATAAAATATGTAGATTACAAATGAGTAGTTGTAGGAAAGTGAGACAAGGAGAATGAAGTTTTCTAATATAAAAGCCAACTTGTAGTTCAAAGAATTGATATTGATTATGATGAGATATAACATTTAGATACTTTATAAGTATGACAATATATGAAAATATTAAAATACGTTTAGTGGATAGAGTTACTGTATACTTATATAGATCACTTGGTAGTGAATCTAAGAAATTTAAAATATTAGAAGAATGTAGTGCAAATTTTTTTAATTTTTTTTTTTATTAAATTGCAACTATCTTTATATATAAATTGAAGTAATCTGGTTATATATGATATAATTGTTTTAGTGAATATCTATTGAAGTAAGGTTATAAAAATGACTCAATATATCCATATGTTTTTATTATGTCAGTCTACATATTAGTTTATTATAATTGCTATAAATATAGATGATTTGAATATAATTGAAACTTCTTAATAACTTTCCAAAAAAATTAATTGTTTGAAAAAAGAATTTACAAATGAAAATATGGGAAAAACAAATTTTTATCTTGGTTTTCAAATTAAACATTTAGTAAATGGGATGATCCATGTTCATCTATATGTGTACCTAAAAAAGATCTTAAAGTGATTTTATATAGATAGAACATATCTATTAAGCACTCTCATGGTTGTTCAATCACTCAATGTGCATGAAAATCTTTTTTCTCTCGTGAGGATAACAAAAAATAGTTAGTTTAAAAGTATTTTATCTTCATACAATAGTTGAACTAGTGTATCTTGTTAATAATAGTTGATTTAATATAGTATTTTCTATAAATTTATTAGTAAGATATAGTTCTTTCTCTAGAAGTAGATTTTAGAATGGGGTTAAGAATATATTTAGATATTTTTAAGCAATAATAAACATGAACTTATTTTATCCAAAAAGATCAAAATAAAAATTAATTAATTAATTATACAAATGCAGGGTACATATCTAATTCATATAAAGCTACATCTCAAACAAACTTTATTCATATTTGGTGGTAGTACAATATCACGGCGATCCACAAAACAAACAATAGTTGTTACTTCTTTAAATCATGCATAAATATTTGTTATCCATAAAGCAAGTTAAGAATGTGTATAGTTGTGAGATTGATGATTAAGCATATTTAAGAGATATATGATTTACCTTATAAAAAGAATATTTTAGTAACAATTTAGGAGGATAATATTGTCTGTATAGCTCAACAAGAGAGGACATATTATAGGAGATAGAATGAAACACATTTCATAATAATTTTTTTTTTCACTTGTGGAATTCAAAGGAGTGGTGATATTAAAATTTAAAAAGTTAGTTTAAGCGATAATTTAGCCTGATTTATTTACCAAATTATTATATACTGTTACATTTGAAAAATTTGTATATAATATTGATATTTGTTGGTTAATAGAAGTAAAGTGATGTTCTTGTCAAAGGGAGTAATTATATGCTTTACTTTTGTTTTTCTCGACTAAAGATTTTATCCCAAAGAGTTTTCCTGATAAGACTTTTAGGGAAGAGTTTTTATATGTTGAAATGGACATTCAATGGGGAGTATTATGAGTTACTTCTTCCTTCCTCTTCCATAATCAATTTTATGAAATGGTGAATTTAAAGAAAGACTTATTATCAAATTCTTTATACTTTTCTCTTATTTCTTTTGTCCTTTTTTAAAAAAATTTTGATTCGGTATAACAAAACAAGATGATTAGTTGGCCAAAAAGGGGATAGAGAGTCCGTTGATGAGTCTACCTGTTTACGAAGTATCTATTCGTTTCTTACTAGAATACCTTGTTTCGACTATATCGCACTATGTATTATTTGATAACCCAATAAACACCTTACCCTCAGTTCAAATCAAATTTCAATTCAAATGGAGGAATTTCAAGTATATTTAGAACTAGATAGATTTCGGTTCAAGTTAGTTCAAGACAAAATTATTTTTTTAACACCACAAATGATATTTAATATTGAATGTATAGGAGTATTTATCGTGTATCAAGTCTAGTAACACACATCAAATTGGTTATTAACATTAACAAAAATTAACATAGACTAGCTAATGTGCATAATTTATTAAAAAGAGTAAAAAAAAAATTAATAAATCATAAATTAAATAAAATAATAGTAAGCGACCAAAGAGAGTATTTAAGCCTACGAGTATATATACATATATACTAATCATTTGCATGCTTAATCTTTGCTCCTATTTGAGTACCATAATAATTATTAACTTGATTAATATTAAAGAGACAAGAACTAGAAATTAATGAATAATAAGTGTGTTACTTTTTAGCCCATGCTAATACCGGGTCGTAATTGCGCGCATGCAGACAATATGAAAACTTTGTAATTGACCTGCAAATATGTTCTATTTTCTTTGTACAGATACAAAACCATACTCTTGTCCAATTTATGAACCTTTGTTTTTTGGCTTGTGAAAAATCCTATGAAGCTGTAACAGTGATATCAAACATACCTTTTGGATCAAGTCAATAAATTCTAAATCTATGACTTCTGTAAAGCTAAGGATGATTTTTCTTATTGGAAACACAACCAAGCAATCTGTGATTTATGACACTAAAACTGGTAAATCACAGTTGTTTGGTTGAGCTAAATAATAAATGAATCTATTTCTAGGAAGAAGAATCAATGATTATACAGACAATACGAACCGCCCCTTCGAGGAACAATAATAGGTGAGATTCCAAAGTAAATTTGCCTTCCAACAATAAAAAGAACCTGCATATCAGAAAAACCACAATGTTGAAACAATAAATGCAGAATCTAACTTCATGAATTATGCTCTTGTATGCTCAAAAAATCCTTATCAATGTATATGATCTGCTAGTACATAAATAAACACTTGTGCTCATTGATTGCATTTCTATCAGTGAATCGATCAAATGACAAATATAATTATTAGGTCGATGCAATAATCACTAACCAGTTCTGCTCCTCAAACCACAAATGCTGCAAGGAGTGCATGCAATACAGCCCAGTAGAGCATAATTCCAAGACGTAAGGCAGGTTGTCGCATCAATGTCCGATCACAAGAAACCCTGGCAGTAAGTTCATTTTAACAAGTTAATTAAATGAACACAAAGCTTGAACAAATAGGATATATCCATCCTCACCCAAAAATAAAACATAATAAATCCTACCATAACCCATCGATCATGTCGGTTACAGGTCTTGTAAATCTTGGGACAATTCTTGATGTAGTAAGCGACTTGAAACCATGAGCTAAGGAGAAAGATAACAAAATAAATAAGTACAATTTTAACTCGAAACAGAATAGAAAAAAGCAATTAGGTCAGCATGGAAATACCTTTATCATCATCTTCTTCTAAACTAGTACCCTTATCATTAGGATCCGCATCGATAGCAATAGCAACTTGATCATTATTGACTTTACGCAAACTGCGAACTTGAGTCGGAATGGAGGTTCTAGGTGCTGTCCACTTGTTTATCTGCATGGAAGTCCCCATTCTTATCTAAAGTAGTCCCAAAATTAAAAATTCCAACAAGTAGAACTTAATGTCATGCAAAGATGATAAAAACTCTCCACCTTTACCAATGTAAGAATCATCAAAACAATACTTCCTGTCTATAAAGTGAAAATAGTAAATCCTAGATGCCAAGGCTGAAATTCGATATAAGCCATTTACTTTTTCATTCTAGTTACATGGTAAAGCAACAAGGTTAAAAGCAAGGGTTCTCCATGTAAGAGATATAAAAAGGTCCAGCTTGGATTGTTCACATTTGCTAATAACCATCAAACACTATCGAACAACCAGATATGCAGAATGAATTTCAGTTGTACGAACCATTTCAATCTATCACAACTTTAGAATGGAAACGTAACATTTTTTGGTCTGGAAACAGAAAAAATGAATCAGAGTTTCGAAAATGTAAATATAAAAAAAAACAGAGCTATATATGCACAAAAAGAAAAAAAAACATACACACACACACACAAAAGAAATAAACTAATAGGCTATTGATGGTAATAACTTACCAGAGGTTCAGCTTCTAAAATTTCAGTAGTCGCACCAGTCACCTGGTTCAAATCTCCCACACCCTGAAGCTCATCTAATTGCGATTCCTTCTCGTGTAAGGACTTCTCAAGAGTTTCTGCTTTACGTTTCAACTCTGCTACTTTACTCCTTTCAGCTTCCAACAATGCATCCCGACTTTGTGCTACCACTCGTAGGTCCTCTAATTCAGATATGATAAAGATAATCTTCTCCTGAAGTA